AAATGGAGCAGAATGAAAAGTACTAGGTTGGTTTTTGGTGCTTGAATTAGGCAGAATGAGGTGGTGGTTGTAAGAGGAAGTGTATCACAAGAAAGATGTGAAGACCACCTGCACAAGGGAAGTTAAATAGTGGCAGTTAAATAGTGAATAGAAAAGGGGAAAAAGAGGAGAACAAGAAAAACAAAAGAAAAACAAAAATGCTTTTAACTACTAAAATAAAGGAAGAGATGACCAGATATAAGATAATGATACAGACGATGACCTCTCTAATTCTGCACAAGGCATAGCTGACAATTTCAAGGGCAATTTTGCACTGCCATGGCACCATGTGTTGGATGCCTGATGTGCTATGGGTTTTTAATATCTCTGCCACTCCTTCACTCCAATGCTTTTCTGACAGCTTGTCTGTTTATTCTGCCTTGGAGGTCTGCTGCTCATCCTATCTTCCCCAGTCGAACTCCTCTGGATTAAGAGCAAACGCTGGGTTGCACACACAGATTTGGCACAACAAAGCAAATAGTTTGTTTATTGCAGATCTAGCCATCATTGAAATCCCACATTTTAGTCACTGCATTACATGCAACAATGCATTCCTTCCCCAGTGTTGCTCAAAACCCCAGAGGAAAAGATAAAAATGCCCCAGATGACACAAGAAATGCTCTTGTAACCCGTCACTAGAGAGGCAAATCTTGTGTGGAAAAATAATTGTGATTTCCTCTCAATACTAATCCAGTTTAAATATAAGTTACATGAGAGGAGACTACTGAAATGTGTAGGGCACCGGTGTTAGGGAGCATTAAGCATTGTACCACAGCTATCCGAGCAAACTTTTTGATATCGGGACAAGAATGTGAAATTGAATGAGACCAATAATTACATGATGTCTCTAAGAAAATAGCACTTAAGGGTGCCCTGTGGTGTTTTCTTAGTCATGTTTACATTCAGTGTTACTCAATAAAAACTACTGTGTGTATCCATGAAGTCTGACAAATGTGCTGACTGCATTTCCTGCTCCATAAAACATTTTCAAATATATTTGAATCCTGCATTGTTTACATACATACAAGCTTCAACTTCACTGCCTTTGTTGACACATTGTAGATCAGTGGAATAGTGTGAAACTACTGGCAGGGATGAATTGCATCACCTATTTGCACATGTGCGTGCATCCTTATGAAACTTTTTTTCAAGCTGCATTGTGGGATACTTTTGTGCAGTATTGAAAGCCCACTAGATATGGTATTATAATAATTCTCTCAAGAAAGTTTGACACAACACCATGATAGCCTATGGTGGTCATTCTTAGTGGACTACAAAGCATAACGATGATCATTTCATACACATAACCAGAGACAGGGGCTGCAGCTTCAGCTAGATGCCGTGCTGTATATATGTTAAATCTATCGGAAATATTTAAATGTGTTGTAGTGTAGCTAACATGATCAGGACAGTCTAGTATATGACATGTGTACACCAATGCCAGAAATCAATTCTTTCTTTGTTATTAGCTAAATAAAATAATTTCAGGTTTTCTCCTCAAAAGGCATGAAAAGAAACCTTTATTGTGTCTCATGTGTAACCGACTGCTTCTTACCTGTAACATGAACAAATGGTGTTTCAAATGTTGTGCAGTTGGATTTTGTCACTTGGCTACCTTAAAGATGACAAAGACACAAATTCAACAGCAAAAAATCACCAATCACTTTCTTTAAGCAAACGTGTAAAACAGACCAATTCCATTATGCAGCAAAACAGGAAAAAAAAGGCAACTTTATCTTTCTTGCCCGTAATTGCTCTTAATACACAATTAACCCCGTCGGCTAATGAACAATTGTGCCTAGCACACCCAAGTCAGCAGTCAGAATGTTGTCCTCTTTTGCTAATGCGATTGAATAATAGCCTAAAGCAATTTTAGTGAATGTGCTTGGTCTCTCTCTAATTGGGTCAACAGAAGCCTAAAAAAGTTAAAAAAGGAAAGATAGAAGGAGGAGGATGACACAGAGGTGTGCCGGAGGCTAAATGGGTGCGTTTCAACTCGCAGTGATGGTTAAAAACCCTCACTCCAGCTGACAATAATGATACCAGGATAGCTTTAGTACTTCATAAAAATGCAAAAACAGGTGTATTATTTCCCAGGCATGTTAATGTGTCAAAAAGATGCATTTGAGCCATTAGTGTTAGTTTCAAGTGTTCTGGTTTAGCTAATTAGTGCCACGTATTTGGTGTGATAGCAGGCATAACAAGCCGGTAATATTTAACATTGTGTATGTCAAATGTGACACCATGGGGAAAAGTATATTTTCCTCAGGCTTAGAGAATTTAGTTACAAAACTGCTCATCACCATAAACATGTCTGGGATATTGTAGGGATGTGAGCCCCAAGAGGACAGACCCATTACAACCTTCTATAAAACACAACATATCAGTATAATACGTGCAAATGATCACAGGCAATTAAGAGCTTGGTGTTAGATTGCAAGAATCATGTCTAACAGCCCCACTGGGGTGTAAACCTTGCTCAGACAGCATGTAGACACACACATGTGCCCTGTAAATTAAACTGAGCAGCATCGTAAGTGGTTAGTGCACAGTGAACTGTGAGGCCTGTGCCACATATCAAGGGAGACCTGTGTAATAGATAATAATATATGCTACCATAATGGATGACGATACTCATCCTTAAATAGTTGCCCTCCTTTGGTATTTAGTATCTTTAGTTTTGTATTCCCTCCTTTCTTGTGTTCCATATGGGCCAAGCGTTGCACTAACATTTATCCAGATTAATTTCCCACAGAAACCACCTGTGCAAACAATACACGCACTCATGACATATAGAATATTTTTGGATGTGGCACACAGCTCCCAAATTTCTGGGAAGAAAAACCTACAGTTACATTCAAGTTCACTGCAGCTGTTGAGTTCTCTTAACATTGAGTTCTCTTAACATTAGCATCCACTCCCGCATGGCATATGAGATATCCCTGCTGCAATCCCTGCTGTGCGAGCAAGATTACAGTAGCAAAGTGCAGCCTAATGTGTCAGTTTAATGTCCTATTACTGATACTAGGGTCCTGACAACCAATAAAGCATCCAGATGCAATTTGTCCCCTTGATGTTGTTAGTGGATAAATACGCTACTGCCATCTCTCTTTTGTGCATCAGTCTCTTGAGATTTGGCTCTTTTGTGTTTTACATGTTATAGGCCTGAGATTACGCAATTTTTATGCCATGTTTATGGGTCTTTCAAATAATGATTTAGTGTGCATGTTTACATCTGAGGCTGACAGTTTGCGCGTACTTGGATATTTATGATTCTGTTGAGGCTTTGGCTGTCTTATTGGGGTCTGCAAAGATCAGGATGCTACCTCTCCTATGCTGTCAATAGCAAACCACTTTTAAAAACTGTCTGAAACACAGTGCTGTCATTGCTGTCGCTTTTCTCACTGATGTCACACCAAATTATTAAACGTTCTGCGGGCCCTGTAGTCTGGTTCCTGTGTCGACAAAGTTACGAGTTGACCTCCTGTCATGTTTAAACTCCAGTCATAAGTGATTTGTAACTTTCAGATGTCTAAAACATTTTTGTTGCCAGGAGAAACATTGTTTTTTTAAAGCTTTATTTAATTAATTCATGCTGACAAAGAACATTTTCTATAGGGCACTGGCCTGCTGAAATAGAGGAAGGATTATACACAGATGCCCAGCACAACCACAGTCTCACACTGGTAGCCCCTGAGCAGTTCAATAATTGTTTGTTCCTACCTCGTGTGCTTTGACAGTATTAGTTAAAAGGCTAAATCTCAGGCTGCTGACATCCCTGCCAAATGATGGTTGTGTGAATTGATAAAGGTTTTAGCCTGGGGAGAACTGTTTTAGATGCTATCTGTGTTTTATTTCAATTATAGCAGGGATCACAGAGACTGCCAGTGACCAGCTGACAGCTAATCCCTCAGGACAGGAAACGAGTTGTACAGCAGCCGATGTCATCTAAGGTTAAACGTCCATTGTGATGAGGCACTCTTCAAAGGCAGACGCATCCAGCTATTGTTCCACTCCCCTTTCTATAATTAATCTGAAGAGAAGATGAAAGTCTAGTTCATGACACTTCATGACATCCTGACAGCCCCGTGGCTCCGTAACTCTCCCCCTGATTACAAAAATCATAGAGAGAGGTAAGCAAGTAGACACATATGTAAGAATGCAGGAAAGACAGATGGATAGATATCAGTGTAAGCACGCGTACATGTGTGTGATGGTCGTGGTGCTTCCTTCAGCCTCGGTAGACATAACAAGAATGGCACAGTATGATGCAATACAACCCTCAACCCGGGAAGAGGTGTTAAATGTGCGATAAAGTGCTAATGCCACTCCGCTTTTGAACAGTCTCTCATCAAAATTGAGATTTTAACCTCCGACACGGCAACAGCATACATGATATGGGAAAGATATTCCTTTCAATGGGCCCTTTTAAGGGAGGGAGATGTTGTCCGCTGGATATTATCCCCCCCCCTCTCGCTGTGTTTAGTGGTAATGAATGGCAGCTAATGAACACCACCTCTGCGGCTGTCTCGCCTTGACGCCCTTTGCTCAGCCGGTTTGCTGGTGGCTGTCTGGGAGATGAGAGGAGAGGGATTGAGGGGCGAAGAGGGAGGGAAAGAGAAGGAGAAAAGAACACAGCAGGGGGCTGTCACACCTCATACCAGCCCAGCACTGAGGTGGGAGCCCACTAGCTTCAGCATGGACGGATCAAAAGGAGAGGTGTTGCAGAGAGGACGGGTGGGTAGGAGTGGGGGGGGGGGGGGGGGGGGGGGGGGGGGGGGGGCACGCGCTCAGTAACAGGTTGAGGTGCTGTGTTGTTCACAGCTGTGTGTATCCAAGCTAGATCCACAGGTGTTTGATAGACCTTGCAGCACACCTTTCATTTTCACTAGTTTATATAACATGATGCATTATTTCATGTCCCATTAACCGTCTTATGTTTCTGTCTCACAATCTTCCAGCCACAGGGATCTGAAGCCAGAGAACCTGTTGCTAGATGAAAAGAACAACATCAGGATAGCAGACTTTGGCATGGCCTCCCTTCAGGTTGGAGACAGTCTGCTGGAAACCAGCTGTGGGTAAGTAATATTGAAAACATTGTGATGCATGTCTTCTAATGTAATGTCTGACTCACATCCATGGCCAAGAATGTCCTGAAGGTAAAGATAAGTCATAGTAGGGGGGAGGGAGGTGGAGTTGCCGGTATCCAACAGAGAGGAGAAGCAGAGAGAGAATGATGAGTGCAGCAATGAAGCCCTCTGTTCTCAAAGCCTCCGTTTATCGCGCAGTGTTGATCTCTGGAGGAGAGGTGGTTGGTGTCTCTCACAGAGTGTGTTGTCTGGCTGTGAGCGGGGCCAGGGCCACGGCCACACATTACTGCTCTCCATCTCCTCATATCTGGCGCTGGGTTTTATGATCTGGCAGTCACGACCACGCCAGGCCTATCAATCCCACAACGACCGTAATGAATTCGCTCGCAGGAAAAGTCACTTTCAAAGTGTTTCGTATATGGCCATCTATACTGCGGAAGTGTTTTTATTTAACCCTTAAGTTTAGTGAACGGTGTACAGGTTCATATGTCCATAAAAGAAGCGACACAGTTGATGATGGTTTACTTTTTAAGAATAAACTCAGCAACAGCATGGATTAAAACAAGTTTTCACTGCAGCACAGAGAGTTGTTCTCTATGTGTTTCAATTCACTCTTACCTGCAGTTCATACTTGAAATGAGATCTTAATATGTAGGCATATTAAGATCTCATAATAGGTAAACATCAAGCAAATCAGCAATGTGGTGGTATGGACAGCCCATTAGCTGTAAAGCAAAGGGTGAAGCAGGGTGTTTTTTATGCAGATTCCTGGTGGTCTGGATGTCTTAGGGAGAATTTTGCTCTGTGGTTACACATGACACTGCGCACAGGGCTGGGAGATAGAGAGGCCCTGTGACATCTGTCCCCAGCTCAGACCTGATTCTGTCCAGATTATACCTTTAAATCAGCCGCAACTGAAATTACACACACTCGCATACACGCAATTCAGCGAACACACATGCGCACGCACCGCTGGCGAGGCTTAGTTCATCCCTGACCTCCTAGACCCTTTGTCCTCTGCTTGCTTGGTTGTCTCTCTCTGCTTGTCTCTCTCTCTGTCTCTGACTCCCTCCCCCTTTTATAATACGCATGCACGCTCATTTAAGTATGTGCATGCACACACACAAGCATGCAGTTGAAACTGTTTCATAATTTTTTTTTTTTTTCCAGCAGTAGCACAGTGCCTAAGCTCTCATGACTCATCGGTAGAGATCAGGCCAACTGAGAGCTGCGTGCATAGCTATCTGCAAGTAAAATGTGCACGACTGAGTCATTCTGCAGCCATGATGACCACACTGAAGTGCTTGCTTTTCCTAGAAAGGCCATAGAGTGCGACAGCTCTTACTCAGCTTTTTGCAGCATCCTGTAGACGAACTATATATTTCTGCTCAGTCCCCCTCATACATTTACAAAGTGCTAAAGGTACTTGTTCCAGGTAGGAACACAGCATTTTCTTACTCTCACACACACACACACACACACACACACACACACACACACACACACACACACTCCCACACACAGCTAAGCAAAGCAGTTCTGTTTTCGTTCTACTCTCCGCCCCATCACCACATCCACTTCTGCTTGTGTGTGTGTGTGTGTGTGTGTGTCACAGGAATGTGCGTGCTCCACATGTGTTTATTTGCCATTCCCTAATACATGTGAAGGTGCCATATGCTGCGTGTGTGGTTATTGATTATTCATGCTCTTCTGACTGTCCCATCTCTAAGTGTAGATATGACAGTTTTTAATTAAATGCATTTATCTGGCCCCCTCTCACCATGCAGCAGTCTGACACAAATGTATTCCATTTGCCACGGGTAATGGAGCTGAGTGAAGATGAGACTCGCCCCAGGTAGAGTAGGGGGAGCCTCGGAGCACATCCATAAATACATGCAGACGTACAGACATATATAGATGAGCCGAGGCATTGACAAACACGTACAAATATGGACCCAGGAACGCACACACAGCCTACTTCTCAGTCTGTCTCTGGCTGCATGAGCCCAGCTCTGAGTTCATCGGTGCTGGCTGTTTAAGTTCTGTTGCACTGATTGATGAAAGGAAATTATCTTGTAAGCAGTGAGGAGCCATACAAAATTTTCATGAAGATGAGCTGCATGTCTAAGTGTCTCCTCAATATTACTGGGCCACACTGCTCCTGTAGGATCTCATATCTCTTAAGCTCATGATACTCCTCAAACTGTGTGAGGGACTTGGTGAGCTCACGGTAAACTTTAGAGGGCTTGTTTGAACTGGGAGTCCACAGATCTGTCTCCAGTGCAGACACTCTGACACTGATAAGCTCTTCAGTGGAGATAAAGACAGCTTTTAAATCATCTTTATCATTTTTTGTCTCCCTTTATGCTGTCGCGCAAACCACTCGCAGCGGCAGCATTTTGTCCCACTATGTGGCTATTTGTTGCCCTCAGAATATAGCCAAATTTCTTGTCCTGTCTGTTGACTTTATTTATGTGCTGTTAGTGGTGTTAGTGGTGGAGAGAGTAAATGAGCTTTAGCAAATAGCAAGAAAAGACTGATGTTATGTCAACCCAGGCGCAACTGTTGTTCAAAAGCCTGCATTTTTCACTCCGGTCAGAGAGAAGTGGCTCTTAAGGCTTTCTATTTATCTGTAGTATCCTAGTCTATAATCTGAATTTGTGGTGTGAGCAGCAAGAGATTTTTTTTTATCATAATGTGAATTTCAGGAAGTATGGGCTTTCATATGAGACCTGGACTTTAATGTTAGAAACTAAGATTCTCTTTTTTTTTTATCTTTGATTAAATTAGGCCAGTAAACACAGGTAAACGCAGCAGGATTAAACAATTTTAGACAGAATGTATAGTTTAATGGCTTACATATTTCAACAATTCTTGCTATAAAATTTGCCATATGCTGTACGTGACATGGCTGACTGATTTAACTGCGTGTTCTGATAAAGCAGGAAGCTTAAGGGCTTGTTTTCCAGTCCCGTGTTTGCCACCTAAAGCCTGTGCAAGTAATGAGTTCATATTCGTGCTGGTTCCAGCTGCGGCTTGTGGCCCTCATGAGGCATAACTAGTGCAAATCTGAGGCTTGTTTTTTTTATTTTTATTCCTCGCTCATCTGCATAATGCACTATGACACTTGCAATCAGGAAGGCAGTATTTGCATAGGCTCCTATTTGAACTTACCCCGTCGACGTGGTGGCAGTGTTTGTTATCGGCCAGTATTTTGACAGCCTGAGGAAGCCGGGCTGTCAGAGCTGGTATTCATGAATACACCAGACAACAGCCGAGCTAATGGGCGCCATGTTTACAGACTTCAGATTGTCTCTCATTAGAGGCAAATATCCCGCTATTAGATAAGACTGAGCAGGAGAAGGAGGTGGAAGACGTATCACCAGGCTGAGAGGTTTTGGAGGGCGGGTGCCTGATTTGCTCTCTATATGCTGTGACATCAGAGGGGAAAAAACACTCTGAGATTCAAACGTTGTTCAATTTATTTGATTATAGATTGATGTAAAGCTCTTATTTCCCTATTTTATGTCAAGATACTGAGTTTGGAAATCTGGCAATGTCGGAGCACAAGGAAAAAGTTAAACTGTGTACGAAAAGAATAACAAGTCACTCCACAGTTGCTCCACTCATCCACAGCCATTGGCTTATGGAGCAGCCATTGCGAGGTAGCTCCATAAATCTTCATACGATATTGATGTGTCAATCTAGTCATTGGGTTTACTGTCAGCCCATCCAGGTGTTGTAAAGATTAGTGGGTCTGTTCACTGTCTGCTATGAGAGGATGCCCTTGAGTGAGTAAGCAGGAGGACTTCCAGACACCCTCAGGATGTCTCAACTCCCGAAGCACATCTTGATCTATGTTCACTGGAGACATTTATTGTCTGCCTAAATTGTTCTTTTCACATTTTTATAAAGGTGTGTTACGAGTGTGTAATGTTTGCTGTGTCATGACTGTATAACCCTGACTTACTTTGCAGCACAGCACTAGATGTGGAGAAGACCATAATAACCTAGATTTGTTCCTTCTTTTCGTTAATTCCTCCATTCATTCACTGTTTGCACTTCTTTTCTGTTTTTCCAACAGATCTCCGCACTACGCCTGTCCAGAGGTCATCAGGGTAAGTCTTTTCTTTAACAGATTCATAATATTGTTTCTGCTCCACTAGCTTCTTCTTCTTAATCCTGCCCCTTATTTTAAACAGCCCTAACACTTTGTCCAAGCGCGCTAACAAACACTCTCTTGTCCACAGGGAGAGAAGTATGACGGGAGGAAAGCAGACGTCTGGAGCTGTGGGGTCATTCTTTTTGCCCTGTTGGTGGTGAGTGTCAGCTTGTTCTTCACTAATTGATGGTGATTGGACTGACAAACAGTTTAAAACTCCCCTGTGAAATGTGGCATAATATAATTTTACCATAAAGTGTTGCTGTCCCTTCATAGCCAACAGTATGTCTAGCCTTTATACCAGCTGTACTGGATCAATAGGAGCAAGCAAATGAACCTTGTGACAGGACAGTTATGACTGCACCCTGGTTGTTGACTTGAGGTTGACCTCAGTGGAATAAGAAGATGATGGGAGCTTGAAGCCACCACAGGGCCTAGAGCATAAACTGAGGGTTCAGGGAGTTAAATCCAAAATCCTTCCATTTACAAGGTCTCACCAGAAGAAAAAAAAAGTTGCAGAGACGCCCGCAAGCTGATATTCTTGCGCAATAGAAGATCAGAGAATAGAAGCATCTTTTTATTCATTATCCTGTATCCACACACACAACGCTGTATCCATAATCAGGTCTATTCTCCAGCTACATTATGTCTGTGGTTCCCCAGCCATGCAGCCCCGAAGCTTTGTTTCATCAACAGCTGTACTATAGTTCCTACACACTCCTGCACCATGAATAATTCATACAGCCAAACTGAAAAGAAGAGAGCCCAAAATAAATACCAACGCTGACAGGGCGGCTTCTGGCCACAGGCCCTGTGTATTTGTCTTTGTTTTTGCCTCTTTGTTCCTCACTCCGTCTCTTTCTGTCTCATATGTGCGTGTTTACTTTTGTTAAGGACAGTCTCCCTTGTACTCTTGTGTTGCGTAAACCTGATGTTGTTTACCATTGTCTCCATCGTGGCCTTACTTCTCTCACTCCAAACAAAAGTTTGTTGTTTTTTTTCCCGCTCTCACTGTTAGACTGCAGATGAATACTGTCTTTCTCCGGTTTTGTCCTGCTGTCTGGCTGCGAGATAACCATTTGTCTGATTGTGGGAGACATGCATACTCCCCAGCAGTTAGGCTGCACTCAGATCATCTGTTATACAAGCTTGCCCTCTTTTTTCATTTTTTTTCCCTCTACCCTTCTTCATTTCTCAGCTTTACTTTCTGTCTTTCTCACTCTTCTCCTCTCTCTCTCTCCCCCCTACATCTTGTCTTCTTGTGGAGGTTGTCATTCATCAAACAGCCACATCTGTGAGGTGTCAGCTCGCTCTGATAAATGACTCTGATGAGAGAATGCTAAATGAACGAGGTAAATGAGAAAGCTGGGTAATTATTAGAAAAGCCCTGTTTTCAGCTTACCGCTGTTTATTATTTATTTTGCATCATGGCTGAAGGCAGAATGCTCTAATTGGAGAGTTGAACAAGTTGAGAAAGCAAGCCTGTTCTTTAAGTCAAGCAGGATTAAGACTCAAAATGTGGTTTCGTTTGTTCTGGTGAGCCTTGTTAGTCATTCGCATTCTTTTTTTCTTTCCTGCCCTCGATCGTCTTATTTTCGGTTCTAATGCTGCCGTTAAAACAAGTGCACACTGTTTCTTCTCTACTAAGTTTTTTTCATCCCTGCACCTACAGAACATCTTCACCATTTGCTATTTCTTTTCTCTCTTCTCACTCTCTGCCTCTTGCGTGTCTCTCTCCAGGGTGCCCTGCCGTTTGATGATGACAACCTGAGGAATCTTCTGGAGAAGGTGAAGTTGGGAGTGTTTCACATGCCACACTTCATCCCTCCAGACTGTCAGAACCTTCTCCGTGGCATGATTGAAGTGGATGCTACCAAAAGACTAACGGTCAGTTCAATAAACAGACTGGATGATGACAAAGCAATAGGATTATCTTCATATACTTCTGTGTGCTTTTGGTCTTGGGCCCCTTCGCTCCAATAGAGGGAAATCTTCATGATACACAGATATCGTAGCTTCCAGGCGAGGTCCAAGAAGGAATCATCTTTAATGGCTGAATGGGAATGAATGAGATAAACCTTGCAGCTAGGTTCCACACTCTTGCAGAAAGCCTTCCCAAAAGAGTGCAGGCTGCTGCAAAACTAAATAGGAAGTAGCTACATGTATAGAGCAATGCCCGTGGTTTTTGAAGGAACATCACACCCATATCTGATTGACAACCATGTGGCTGTAGGTGTAGTTATTACATACAGGAAGGAAGTACGTGAAAAATGAGTGGTCTCTTCCAGTTTGAAAATGCCCCAATCCATAGGATATTCTCTCATTTTGGTGTTTTGATGGTGGAGTCCTGTCTAACATGTCAGTCCAAAATCTCCCATAGGTGTTCTATATACACAAACACACACCATATATATATATATATATATATATATATATGTATGTAAATGTAAATTCAGTTATGCTTCAGTTGTTATTCTTCAGTAGTATTCATAATGTGTTTCTATACTACATGAGGGTATAGAGTATTCTTTGCTCCTCATTATGCACAATTCATATGTTCTCAGTGACTCATATTGAATTGAAAAGACCTGTATTAGATTAGATTAGATTAGATTAGATTCAACTTTATTGTCATTGCACAGAGTACACGTACTAAGACAACGAAATGCAGTTAGTATCTAACCAGAAGTGCAAAAGAGCAGTTAAAGGGCAAGTGTGTGCTGTACAGGTATGTAAAGTGAGGGTGTGCATAAGTAAAGTGGAGATGTGCATATGTAGGGTACAATAAATTACACTGTGAATTACAATGAATTACAATGATGAGGTAGCGAATTACAATGATGAGGTAGCGGGAATAAATACAGTGAGTGCTAGACAATGAGTAGAGACGGTTCAGAACAGTTCAGTGCAAGGTTAGGTGGCTGAGGGGGTTGGTGTGGCAGTCACAGTCTCTGGGTTGTGTGTGTGGGGGGGGGACACCGGGGTTGTGAGTTCAGCAGGGTGACCGCTGCAGGGAAGAAGCTATTGTATTGCTTTGTATCGGTATTGTATTGTATTGTATCGGTATTGAATTTCATATCCGTGGTCCAAGACCAGCAGTGTTTTCTAATGATGCCGTCAAAGCAGAAAAGCACATTTAGATGTTATTTGAGTAGACATATCAGGTCTGAGTTAAGCAAGGAAAATCATTATTCTGCAAATTCACAGTAAGCAGGGAAAACTTGTAATGCTTCAAGGAGAGAGTGAGATGGCAGAGATACACAGTCAAACTAAAGTGGCTAATATCAGCTCCTGCCAAGCCAACTATTGTCTTTTTGTTTGTTTCTTCTTCCCTCCCTTGTGTTCCAAATGTATTTTCCTCATCCCCAATTCTGTTTGAGTTCTTCCTCTAGTACAGGGTGAGAATTCACGAGAGGATTGCTGTTTGTGTTCTCTCCCTCTGCACTGTTTAGTGCACTCATCACAATGCCAGTTCTACACAGCAACTGATCACCTTGGCAAGGTGGCTGGAGTAGAGCACGGGAGCACAGAGATGTGAAGGGCAGCGAGTCAGGATAGAGAAGGAGAGGGATGGACAAAGGGAGATGTAAACAATGAAAGTGGTTTAGAGAACTCGAAAGAACATACTTCACAGGAAGATGGAGCTGCCCTGAATGTAAAATGCAGGACAAGAAAAGACGACGCACAGGGATTCAGACATACTTGCAAGTAACTCTAGCTTAAAAATAAAAAACCCACATTTCCACCTGCTTACTGTATGTACACACCCTCTCCAGGTATCTATGTGAACCAGTTCAGTAAACAAAAGTTTTCCTGCACTTACCTGTAAGCAAATGTGGTTACACCACCTGTAGGTGGATGCTGCTGCTCCATTTCCCCCACGCCTTATCTTATCTGTCACAGTGTCAGAATAACTTTAACTTTAACAGAACTGTGAAAGACACCAGTAAAAAGCTACAAAGAAAGAGATGCTAATTTGCAGGGGAGTTGACAACCTGAAGGTGAAGCCCTTCAGATAAGCAGCAAGTGTTGAAACATCAACTAGAAAGACCCCACCTCTTTGGTATGCTGTATGTGCTTTATTTTTCTGTTCTCTCCGCCTGACGAGGACAGGTCACCCTGATATCCCCTAGATATGTCCACCAGCCTCCAGCGCTGTCCTCAACAAAGCGTTACACACGGACAGAGCTGCTGGGAGAGAATATGCTACCTGTCTGCCCCCCTCTCGTGCATGATGGCTCCAAACAGAGCTCTGGGGATGTGTTGTAACCTTACAGAATGTCAAATAGCCCTGTTAGAATGAGCATTCTTGGAGTTCAGTGGCCACCGACCTTACAGTCATAGACAAAGACGGGAACACTCACGGGTGGGAATGACATCATAAGGGAACATGTTCTTTTGCTATGGATTATTTGTAATAATGTTGACAGTAGTTTGCTGAATCAAATCGACAGGTTAAACAGACCATAACTTCTGGCTGTGTCTCAAAACGTCTATTGTCACCTTCTGTTAATTAGATTTTGCTAGTAGAAGATGCACACAAGTACACACACAAAACCAAGGCCCCAACAGAGTCTGAGTGGGAGGGCACGTACCCAGGCTTAAGGGGCTTAGCTCAATAAAAGCCTTTCTCTTCATTTCCTGTCTGTTTAGTCGGGGCCCTGGAGGCGACCGGTACAGCCACCTCAATGCAGTCATCTCATCTTCTCAATTCAAATGAACACAGACACCCTGGAAAGATCTTCCTCCTCATGATCCCTGGCTAATGAAGGGGATTGGCTAGCTTGTTATATTAAAGAGCAGTTCATCACAGACAGATAATACCCTCAAGGGGACGGCGCAGATGAAGTACCATGGTTTCTGGAATGAAAATATAGCAAGTGTGTGTTTTTTTTTTCATGTGTCTTCATAAGTGCCAGAATAAAAGTGACCTCATTCACTGCACCCATGCACTGAAACCACTAGTTTCTTTCATTATGACCATGCGTGACCCTCTTTCTCTTTGTGTGTAGTGTCTCAGGATCTTGTTGCTCCTCTTCCTGATATGGGGCTCCCTCAGCAATAGCAGTAACTACAGAAAGTGAAGTTGTAAAAAAAAATAAAAAATTATAGCTTCAAGGCCCCCAGCCAATATGTCTTACAGATATATATTGTAAAAGCTTCATTTTATGCCTTATATAAAACCTAAAAAGGTAACTCAACATTACTGCTCTTGAGATAATCTAAAGTCTGCATGGGAAACAAACAGATAAACAAAGTGTGATTTTCTTTTTTTCTTTCTCACATGTCTTTTCCTTTTTAACTCTTAAGTTAAATACATTTGAAGTTAAATACATTTTTTATTATATATGCTTAAATATGTGATTTATGAGGTTTTTTTACATGAGTAAAGGTGGGAGAAACTGCAGGTACTGCTACTCTGCTAAGCTAGGCTACTTAGCTTTTAGCTTTTAGGACTGTATCTGGTGTTACCTTTTGCACTTTTATGATTGAATGTAGTTACTGCCTTATTTCTGTGATATAACCATAGCTACTAAAATGTTGAAGCATTAAAACAGTTTTTTCACCATTGCCTCACCCATCCTCATGTCTCTCCCTGCCCTTATCAAGCACACAGCATGACTGAGAGACATGCATGCACATGCTGGGACTTACACTCATTTGTATCACTGCAAGCTTGCTTGAGAATTAATTTATGCAGCACCCAGATAAAGACATACCTGAATATACACTCACACACCTTGCCAAGCCAACATTACAGCTGCATTCCTGGCTGCCTGAGTGAAAGCAGCTGGAATTGGTACTGTCACATTTAGAGGCTGATTGATGTGATACTGCATTTCAAAGCCCATCACTTTCATGCCTGTGTGTGATATCGGTCTCTTGCCTCCAGGCCTTCAATAAAAGTTGGAGAGAGTAGGTCACCCACCGGCCTGTATCTGACAGGCAGGGTGTCTCTGTCAATACCATGACCTCTGTGAAAGCAGACAGGAATCCGCTATAGTTGGTAACCACAGTCTGCCCACCTCTGTGATTGCACTGATACCACATGAAGGCATTTATCTGTGCTGAGGCGCAGAGGTAGATCCTCTGGGACGGCGAACACATCGAGACACTGATGGAGACACATACCCAAGAACTATGCTTCTAAATAAGTGACAATAATTAGAACTGCTATGTGTATCCCTCCTGTGGTTCCACAACAACAGCAGGAGCAAATTAAAAAGTCCCAGCAGTGACATTGATCCTGTTTTCCTCTGTGGGCAGTTAAAACACGGCAGAGCCACTCGAAGAGACATCTTCCTCCATTGCCCTTTTGCTCAATGTTTTCTCTCTTTCTGCTTTTCCTTTCTCTGCAAAAGCACCGTGCTGATAGTGTTTGTGACAAAATGGCCACATTAAAAGTGTGATGACAAGGGTAGCATCAAGAGAGTGTGTGTTTGTGTGAGTAAAAGAGATGGGAAGGGAATGAGAACAGGAGATTCCCTTTGGACCAGAGGGCTTGGCAGGGTCAGCAGTGTGTGTGAGGGAGATAATATTCTCTGTTTATATAGCTCCATGGTATCACCTCTCTCTTTTGTCTTGCTGCACCTCTCTCTCTGTCTCACTCTTTTTTTCCCAATAAGTTTTTTTTTTCCCCATTGGCAGTATTAATATTTGAAGGCCTCATTATTTACTTCCACCGTTCAATCTGGCCGTATTGTCCTGCTGCGTTTCCATTAAGCCAGTAAGCTCAAGGCTTACTGAAGCCATACTGCACCAGGCACTTCTATACACACACACTGACTGATGATTCTGTTGCTTTTGATTCATTGCTTGGTACCAAAATGATGATAAAATGATTCAATTCAAATTGGTTGCTTGTGTACTGACTGTTTATTTTCTCATCTCTTTTACAGTTAGAACAGATCCAGAAGCACACATGGTACATGTGAGTACTCCTCTGTCGTTCCTTCTTTTGCACACCCCTCACTCCTCTCCTCCTCCTCCTCCTCTCTTACCCTATTCTACAGGGCTTGTAGGCCTGAGGGGAGCTACCACATGATGAACGACTTTGAGTTTCAGCCCTGTACACGAGAGTACCTTTGAGCGGGCCGTGACTCCACTCTCGGGGATGTGGGGGTAAATTGGTAGTGCATGAAAGAGGAAGTGCCGCATATGGTCATCTGAACAGGGAGCATAGGACGGGGGAACGGGCAGGGATGCGATGCAAGGTGAACCCACCTGACCTCAGTGTTCCCCCCTTTTAACTTTCATAACTGAGTGTACCCACCCTCTAAAGCCCAGCATAAATCTTTTGAGAAAATATGTGCTACAGGTCACTGTATTTGATGTCAGAGTTCATTTATGATGAATTTTTTTTTTTTTTTTTTTTTTTAATATCCTCCCTCTAATAATAGTCTAATAGTCAGATTGTCTTTAGAAGTTGTAGCAGACCCACTGAAAAAGTAATTCAAAGATAGGATTTTAAAGGTTCCTACACTCCAAGAGCAAAGATGAATCATGTCTGGATGTTGTGAGTCCTGGACGGAGCGTGAGTTATGGTGTCTGTCGTGTACTGAAAGATCATGCAAACAGACAGCGAGGCTGATAAAAGAAACAAGAGCAGACAAGTAGAGAAGAACAGGGGTAGGAAGACTAATGTAGTGTAAGTGAGGAAGATGCCTGACTTTCTGGCTGCCCAAGTGTGACTGGTTGAATGAATGAATGAATGAATGAATGAATGAATGAATGAGAGGGGTTTTTTTGTCTGACGAATGTGGCTGCCGCTATTTCCCAAGAAGCACCAGTCAGTGGTGTTTAAAAATGAAGGTGCAGCCATCTTTTCAAATAACACAAACTAACTTTTTATGTTTACAAATTCAAATCCAGCCATCCATTCCTATTGACAGTTTGATAGTTTCACTAGTCGGTATGCTCTTCATCTTTACATCTTTCAGTGGAGCTGTGGTGCTGAAAGGACAGCGCCAGACCAACCAGGTTCGCACATCATGAGCAGTGGACAAACATACATTCAGCTGCCAGTTTGTTAGGAAGGTAAAACTAATGCAATCTCCTGCGCTAAATCTTATCTTCATTAAGTTTTTTTTTTTTTCTCAAAGCTGTTAAGAGAGCTGTTGATTCGACTTAATAGTCATTTCGGTGGCTGTAATTTGGAGTGTTGTTGAATTTTATCAACAATATACTGACAGGTCCAAATTTTCTAAAACAAAAATTAACCTTATAACCTTCATTAAGGCAGGATTTATTGCAGTGCTTCTTGTAGTAGATTGCATTAGTCTGTGCATTAGGGAACCTAATAAACTGGCATTTGCAAGTAGTTTTCAGTACATATATGTCAGGATAAAAACAGGGCCCTGTTTTTATTTTCAGTTTTTATATGCACATATTGAAACAGGGATGTTGGAGGTTGTGTGAGGTGATGGAAAGGTGGATGTTTGTATGATTTTAATAGCTGCCTATGGGGTTTACGCTTTACTGGGCTCACCGGAGGAAAAAAAATAGATGAAGGGAAAGAACAGAGGGGGTTGCATATTGACACAAACCTGTGTATAAATTTGCCACATTTTGTAGAAATGGAAGATGGATGTGGTCTTTGAAAGAGACTTCTTCCAGAAATCTTCTAGAAGATGGTGTCAGTGCCTGTTTCAGGCTTTCATTTTAAATCCCAAAGAATAGAGGCCTGTCTGTGTAGTCCCTAGAAACGGAGAGACAGAGAAAAGTGACATAACTAGCAGAAAGTCCGGAAAGAAGGGAAGCAATAATGAAAAAACTAAGTTTGCCATGC